TATCCTCTTTAAGGTTCCATTCCATCTGTCTAAGGTGTTCCTTGAGTTCTTTATATGACCATTTTTCTGATGACTGTAGGTCCTCCTGAATATTTAGGCTGTCCTGAATTGTTTGTACTCCTTTTCTTCCTTGCTTTTTGAAGCTGCTCCTGTTACTTCTTGTTCTGTTTGACTGCTGAGTTACTATTTACTCCTTTAAATTTATTTGATGCTTGGGAGGAAAGGTATTAGAAGGGAAGGGAAGAAGTCACTGTAGCCACAGGTTTCAATGAAGTTATTTCCTCCGCCGCAGTCTGGTGACGTCAGTTCTCTGCCATGGTGGTATCTCTTGCAAATGGCGACAGTTTGTTTCCCTTTGCCGGGTGACCAATGCAACGGGTGGGTCCTTACTGTCTCTCCCAAGCCCCATTTCAAACCTGTGGCCACTACCTATGAAGGCTCGGTTGGCATTTACCTCCGTAGGATCAGAAGGGCTGACCGGTTGTTTCAGCTGGATGGATTAGTGCTGAGTCACAGCTGTTTGTCTGCGGGAAGCAGGCAAACGGAGCTTGAATTCAGCCGATCCCGGTTCAGTGTGTGTTCTGAGAGGCCCAAACTGCTCACCCCAGATCCACGTCAGTTCAGCATTGCCTAGTGATCCATTTTTTGGCTTTCAGGGTTCTCATCGTTCTCTCTGTGATTTGTTTTCAGATTCTGCATAGCACAGACACCTGGGCTCCAGATTCAGGACTGAAAGCCTACAAAAAAATTGAAAAAAAATGTGAAAATATTTTTATAGAGTTGAAAGACTCATACTTTTTTTAAAAAGGTCAGATATTGTGGGAGTTTCAGAATTACCATAATTTGCTATCAATATGTCATATTATTTTATTTTTATTATAATTTCTATTGACATAGTACCTGTATTATGAAGCAGATGAGGAGCCTATAGTTGATTTAAAAGGCAGATACCAGATTGGAGCCTGACCAATCAGAATGGCCAAGGCTCTGGGGAAATAAGATCAAGAGAAGCAGATCAGAAGAGAGTGCTGTCAAGGTCGTGCCCCATCTCTGTATAAGCTCCTATGGAGGATGTGGTGGTACTGGGAACAGCAGGTGGGTCTTCTAAATCCAGTATTAAGGATGAGTCTTCTGTCCTTTGTTCCTCCCTATTTAGCGGTTTCCAGAACATAGGGGAAACAATGTATGTTAGATATAAGGTACATATCCTATTTTAGAGCAATTTTAATTATTACTACAGTTTTTTTTAGGCTAATGATCTCTGCTGATGAAAAAATGTGAGCACTTGAAAGAAACAAATAGTAAATAGGTCCATACTGAAAATGGAAAGTTATGCATCTTACATGGGGTATATGAGAGAGAGTGAGTACAGAGTGCACAGGATCTGTAGGAGTAGGGCATTTTCTGTGTGTCCTTTGTATTTTCTGGGTTTAGTATAATACCTCACGTATATTTAATGTTCAAAAACTACTTGTCAAATAAATAAGAACCACTTATTGGTATTAAAATTTTGTTTAAATGATTATCTAGACTGGATTCTTTGGGGATAAGACCTTGTTTTCCTAACCAGGTTCTGTAAATATTGTTATATTGAAGATGGTTATAGAAAATAGAATGAAGTATATTTTTATGAATCAGAAATCAGAAAGAACTAATGCTATGTGCCATATCTACTGTGTAGTAAATCTGAGTGGAAACCCAGTTTTTAAATGAGGACACAAGCTCACAATGTTAACTGCCTTGCCCAAGCTATGAGGCTAGAAAATGATAGAGCTGGGATTCCAACCTAGGGCTATTGGACTCCAAACACACACACCTCCCATGGTACCATGTTGAAAACAACATTAGCAAACAAACAAACAAAAAAAAGGATGGGCAAAAGCTGTGTTCTTTTTTTCACCATTCTACCATGGGAAACTCTGATCTGGGTGATCTTTTTCTGTTTTATTTTGTACTCTTTTGTGTCTGTGAGGTACTGGGGATTGAACCCAGGAATATTCTATTGCTAAGCAACATACTTTTATTTATTTTGACTTTTTTATTCAGAGTCTTGCTAAGTTGCTTAGGGCTACACTAAATTGCTAAGGCCACCCTCAAGCCTGCAATCCTCCTGCCTCAGCCTCCTTCTTGAGTTGCTGGAATTATAGGTGTGTCTACTATGCCAAGCTCTGCTTTCACTGTCTTGTCTATGAAAAGTCCTAGCTTGAGTGAAAACCTGAAAAGAACTGTAGTGAGATTGCTAGGTATGACTGTTTGCCTTTTCTGGGTCCTTTGGAGTGATCCATCTACCTGCAAAACCGTGTAGCTGCTGTGCTGTCTGTGCAGCTCTGTTTATACCCTCTGTCTGCATCTCCCCCTTTGGAAAATTTCATATTTTCCTTTGGAAATTTCACGTTTGCCTTTGTGCTCGGTGCTGTTATATAACAGATCATTTGAACTAAGGATTTTTAAATGGTAAATTTCTTATTAATTATATCAATAACTTTCCATTAATAATACTACCAAAATGCTTTTGGCCCTCTTTCCCTGACTCCAAGCACACATGGAATGACACTTTGTAACCAATAAAGGCCCTGGGCTGAGTAGTCCTGTGCTGAGCTCTGATAAAAGTCTGAATTCTTTGATCACAGGTCCTACTTTTTGCAGCTCTTTCAGATTGTACTGTTTGTGTTTAAGGTGTATGATTTTTGCAGAAGTTAGCAAAGATGTTCTAAGCAGTAGCATAATCTAACAATATTTAATTTGCTTTACTTCAAGAAATTATACTAACTCACAACTAAGTTTATGGAACTATAGTCAACACCTTTTCATTACATCTCTACAGGTACAGAGAATTTTCCAAAGTTACATGATTTTATATCCTCATGCTCTTTGCCTCAGAGTTTATTTTAACTCTCAATTTTCATTTTATTCTAATATTAACAGTGGTAAGACATGAAGGTTAGCTAAGCCCTTGTAATTTACAAAAGATTGTAAAAATTGCCTAGTATTTTTTTAGTTTTTAATGTTTTCCCCCTTTTGTTAAAATGATCTACATAAAGCCAAGTGCTTTACTTTGATACATCTCAAAACTTAATGCTGAATGAAAAAGCAAATTGCATAATTAAGTACAAAACAACCTAAAGTTTACAAAACAACCTAAAGCTTATAAAACAGTAGCACAGATTGCTTACTACTGCACATGGATGTGTTAGTGGTAGAATGTACTTGGGAATGATTAGTACTGGATTCACTAATGAAAGGTTCAGAAATGGTTTTAGGGATGGGCATGACAAGCTTCGTGTTTTTAAAGATTTAGATTTTTTAAATGTTGAGGTTTGTTAAAGTTAGGTATGAAAGTGTTTAATTATATTCTCCATATTTCTCTATGCTTGACATATTTCATAATCTTATCAAAATGAAGTCTATTTATCTAATAAATCTTATATTATCTCCTAAAATTTTCAAGATGTTGCAACCCAAGCTTACACAAAAGAAAGCATAAGATATGGTATCATGTTGTCTATCCAGATGTTTCTGTTTGCATGTTTGATTACCTTGTTGAAAGCACTGAATCCCCACAGGAAGGCTTTGTAGCTGAAGGATTTGTGAGATGAAAGATTCTTAAACATGAAATGAGATCAGTGGTAAGCTCGTGACTTAAATTGTTGTTTGAAAAATTGTTTGATCTGCCCCCTCCAGGGTGGAGGTGGGGGAAGCCTAGTGATAGCCTAAATACAATATGACAATATTTTAATTTTTTTTTTTTAGTATCTAGGTCACCATGGCAACTGGACAGAAGTTGATGAGAGCTATTAGAGTTTTTGAATTTGGTGGACCAGAAGTACTGAAGCTGCAGTCCGATGTTGTAGTACCGGTTCCAAAAGAGCATCAGGTGGAAATAATACCCTCATTCAGGCAATGATTACACAGAATGTGAAACCCTAGCACATCAAGTTAGTGTTCAAAAGCAGCAGACTAACAATGATTTATAAAGACATTGAATTTGGACAAAGTTTACACTGGTTATATGCATAAACTCTGACAAAATTAACATAGAGCTAAAAATTAGTGAAGTAAACATATGAAAAGGAATAGCCTCTGGTTTTAAGAAAATTTTTGAAGTTGAGAATCAACTCACATAGTGTAATAATTAGATTTTTCTGAATGGAGTCAAAAGTAGTTTTGATACCTTTTTTTAAATCAAAAACTTCCTTGGTTTTTATTTTGCACATGATGGGGAAAAAATTCCTTCTGCATTCATACTTTTTCACTTATGAATTAAGAGAGTTTAATTGTAAAGCTTAGTCATCTCAAATGACTTTAACAACACATGATTTTTGATTCAAAATCATGTGTTTTTATTATTGTACCTTCCATAGCTCCCTAGTCTAATTTCCTTAGCAAGCCTTAGAGGGTTTTCACAATTTGGCTTTAACCTACCTTTATAAATTTATTTCTTATCACTCCCTCAATAGACAGTGCTATAACAACATCAAACTATTCATTTCCCCAAGAAGCCCTTTCATTCCTTCTGTCTTTGCATGTACTATTCCTTTTGCCTAAAATGATCATTTTCCTCCCATTCCTATAGAATCTCTACTCATCTTTTAAGACCCAATTCAAACACTGCTTCCTTCTTTAGGTTTTCCTTATTCCTATCGCAGAGTTCATCACTTTGTATGAAAGAAAACTTGGTTTCTGTACTAGAAGTAACCTCAAAATCTTAATGTTTCAAAAATAGACAATTATTCCCCACATTTTAAAATGTTGGTGGGTAGTCCTCCAGCAGTGACTTAGGAGGACACAGGCGTCTGTGCTCATCGGGCTCCACCACCTTCAGCACCTGAGTTCTGAGGTTCCCAGGAAAGGATATAGAAGCACAGTGTGGATTGCCTAGTAAAGTTTTGATGGGCCAGGCCTGTAAAGGGTTTTCATCACTTCTGCTCACTGGCTGGCACTCAGGCCCTTCACTCCTCTTAACTGATAAGGAGGCCAGGAAATAATGTTTCCCATGTGCTTAGGAAGAGGAGGAAGTAGATTTGGTAAAATATAGGATCTCTGCCACACATATCCTTAAATATTTCTTCTAGTGTTTTCCCCAAATCTTTTTAATATAGCCCATAAACCACTTTGTTTTATTTTGTATTTACATATTGGTTCACAGAATTAGAATGTGAGCTGCTTGAGGGAAGGAATTAGTTTGTTTTGTTTTGTCCATTTATATAGCTCCCATAATCCATTTGGTTATAGCGTAACCCTAGATTAATGCCTAAATGCTCTGTGTAACTAAAATGCATTGTCATTTCAGGTTCTAATCAAAGTCCACGCTTGTGGTGTAAACCCAGTGGAGACATATATCCGCTCTGGTACTCATTTAATTAAGCCGACCTTACCCTACACACCTGGCACTGATGTGGCTGGGGTAATAGAGGCCACGGGAGATGAAGTATCTGCTTTCAAGGTATCACATTTTAAATTATTTCCATTTTGACTTACTTTAAAAAAAAAAACATTTTAGCATGTCTTTAAAACATATCTGCATTTAAGACTTTCAAAGGCCCCATTACCCAATTTCTGCCACTTGGGGGACTCCTCTAGTCAAAAAAGAAATGATGTCTTATCCAGAGGGTTTGTTTGTTTGCATCAGTCGCAGCAAATGCTGGATGATTTCTATATCTAACAACTCCACAGAAGGAACTGTGATCTTTTTAGTTTAATAAAAATATGTAAGTAAAGAACACAAATAAGGAAATGATACTGTTTCCAAACTCTTGGTATTACATAAGCCAGTTTTATAAATTTAGTTTTACAAAATAAAGGGAAATTGAATTCTTTTGAAGGATTAGAAAACTTGAAAACATGCAAGGTCATTGTACAGTTTCAGAGCTGAGTCAGAGCAAGGTCAATGGAAATGTTTTGGTCAGGGCTTTTGTTATTTATATGCTAAAAGACATATAAAGCAGATAGTATATTCATAGCATACTCATGTTCTAGCATCTTTTCTGATAATTTTTTGACCTACTCAACTTTGGCAGCACATTTACCAAAATTAGGCTGGGATGGAGAAGATTAACGTGCCCCTGTACAGGAAGAAGGGTAAATTCATACAGCTTTCCACTTCTCAGACTGTGGCAATCTGGCTTCTGCCCCCAACGCTCCACTGAAACGATTCTTGCTAATGTCACTAATGGCCTCTGTACTGCGGAAGTTAATGGGCCCTTTTATGTCATTATCTTTCTTGACTTCTCAGTGACATTTGACACTCTTAGCCACTTAACTTTTTCTTAAAAAAAAAAAAAAAAAAAAAACCAACTTTTTTCTAAAGCTTCTGTGACATCATTTTATCCTGTCCTCTCTTCGCCTTCCCCACTGAGCATTCTTTTTCAGGACTCTTTTTTTTTTCTGGTCCTCCTTAAATCTTCATGCTGCCCAGGGCTCTTTGTCCCTATTTAGATCCCTGCTTTTTATATTTGGTGTCTTTCCTGATGATCTCATGCACTCCCTTTATTTCCTTTATCATATGTGTTATCTTAACCTAGAATATTCTACCGAGCTGTTCAAAACAGTAGCCACTGACCCTATTGACAATTAAAAATTCCAAATCAAATAATTTAAATTCAGATTGAAAGTGCAGTTCCTAAGTCATACTAGCAGCGATTCAAATGTTTAGTATTCACATGCATCTAGCTGCTACTCTACCAGTCTTATGGTAGAGTATAACCTAGACACAGTAGGACAATATATTAATTTTTTTCTTAGTATCTACCAGACAGTGCAGATATCTGAATAGATTTCTATCAGGACAGAAGTTCTGTCGAATAGCCCTGGACCACCATAGCCAGACTCTGGGAACCTCTTACTCAGTGAATCTACAAGAAAGCTCATCTTTTCTCACTGCAGATGTGCTCCTCTCTTATGTAACTGCTTTGGCAGCTTCTAGAGTTTGAGGCTCATCTTAGAACTGCATTGTGTCTCCTCTTTCCATACCCAGCACCTATAGTTTAGTTCAAGCTCTTACCTACTTAACTACACCTCTGACCTGGGATTCTGTGGTAGACACTTAACTTACTACCCTCTCTCCTTTCCTTGAGAATCTACTCCTACTCTAGAATCTTTTCCTAGCATGTAATTCTGAGCATTTTATACCTCTATTTTAATTCTTGCATTCATTCCTTATAGATTTCAGGGTATGGATGACACTCACTGTTATGGAATAAGAGGGTTTCATGCTCTCTCCCCCTATCTTATCATTTTTATCTCCTACTCCTTCTCACTCTACAACTTACTCTTTACTAATGAACTATTTTCCTTCCCTGCACATCCCATGCTGTCTTACGTCTGTGTTTTTGTTCATATTGGTTCTTCTGCCTGGCAGAAGAACTAAACTGAAAGTTGTATACATAGAGTCAAGTAACTTCATGTTACTTTTGTACTCCAACTTTAATTTCTTTCTATTTTATTCCTGAAATCATTACATACCACACATGAAGTATGTAATGCCAGTATGCCAGTACTTACCTTTTTTTTTTTTTTTTTGGTACAGGGGATTGAACTTAGGGGTGCTTAGCCACTGAGCCACATCCCCAGCCCTTTTTTATATTTTATTTAGAGATAGGGTTTCGTTGGGTTGCTAAGTACCTCACTAATCTGCTGAGGCTAGTTTTGAACTCGACATCCTCCTGCCTCAGCCTTCCGAGTTGCTGGGATTACAGGCAGGCACAACAATGCCCAGGTTTAATACTTACCTTCCTATTGAGAACTGATGCTTATAATGTCTCAGCATTTATTCCTGCCTCTATTTCTTTGCTATCTTTGTTTTCATGACTCTTGTTGGTTATTCCCAATTCTTGTTTTCAAAATCTTGTCCTATCCTTCAAGTTCCACCTCAAATATTAGCCGCTCGATGGAGCAGTTCCTCAATTTTCTCAACTTAGAAGCAATTCCTTTCTTTTTCTTTTACCTCTCTTTGATGGCTCCTTGTGTTTGTTTTGCTTTACAATTATTTCTGTTCTTCTCTCTCCTCCTAGAGTTTAGGGTGCTTAAGATTAGAAATTGTGTCTTGCTATTAATTTTCTTTGCAGAACTCAAAATAATGCTTTCCAAATTGTGAATTCTTAGTAAATGATTGAAATTGAAATCAGTTCAACAAGAGTTTAAGCTGTAAAAGCAGGATTAATCTTAACCTAGGCATGCTTGACCCTTGCAGGTGACATTATTAAGTGGTAATGCTTGTCTTTGACTCTCAGGTACCTTTTGGATCTTTTCTCATCTCCATCTCACAGCATAATGTTGTTACTTTTTCAGGTTTCTTTATTATAGGACCAATTAAAGTATACTAAGTAGTCATTGCCTCCATGTTTTGCCTATTCCAAGGAATATTTACCTTTATTTCCCAAAAAAGAGGATTTAAGGGGGCTGCTTAAAGTGAGCAGAATGATTTTCTAACATGCAAATTATACTGGACCTCTAATGCCATGCATGTGCTTTTCAATAGCGAGGGCCCAGCAGGAGTTTATTGAGAATTTATGTGTTTGGTGCTAAAGTGAAGAAACCTATCCTGGCTTGTCTTGCTGTTGGGATCCTGGCATGGTTTCCTGTTTCTTGATTTATGCATAAAAAATGATAAGAGTGCATCCATGGAGAGGATCTTGAACAGTTGTTTGTGTATTAAAGAAACTTCACATTTTTGTTTATTCTCTCTGGTATTTTATGTGTGCATGTGCATGGAACATACACACACACACACAATAGCAGTTTGTATTAATTACCTTTGACAAATTGATTGATCCGAGGAAATTACAGAACTTCTTTGTACCTCAATTTCCTCATCTGTGTAGTGGGATAAATCTAAAGTGAAGATAATAAAAGTGCACATCTTACATAGGTAGTTGTGAAAGTCAAAGAGAACCAATAAGTCACTGACACAGCGCCTAACATAGTAAATTCTCAGTAAAGATGAGTTGTCATCTTTGTCATCATCAGGCTGTTCCCAGAGTCCTTCTTTTATTTTTTTCTATTTTCTTTCATTGGTTTCCATTAAGAAAACATTTAAAAATGTTCAGTATTTTAAAATTATTTTTTATGCATTCCTAAGATGTAGAAAACAATATATAAATACACATTTCTTCTTATAAAGGTTACAACTCATCTTGGCATAATTTTGAAGCCCTGGTGCACATGTCTATCTCTTCCCCTAGAAAGGTGACAGAGTCTTCAGTACCAGAACAATCTCGGGGGCCTATGCAGAGTATGCTCTCGCAGCAGATCATACCGTTTACCCACTGCCTGGGAATCTGGACTTCAAACAAGGCGCTGCCATCGGGATCCCGTACTTTACTGCCTTTCGAGCTCTGCTCCACAGGTAATGACACACTCAGTAAATTTTATAGCTAGTGCCAGAGGAGGGCACTGTGAACCGCCATTCTTCCTGCCATCTGTCATGCATCTGTCTGTCACTTTGGGTTACTAGTTTTATACCATCAAACATTTATGGAATGGAAACTGTGCTGATTTGGGTGATTGTGCAGATCACTGGGAACACAAAGCAGAGCAAATACCATCTTCATGATGATTGCAGTCGTGAGGGAAATAGACATAAAAGTAATAGTATTTCTATGTAATGGGGAAAGGACAATGGTGACATGTATGTGGGGATTTGTGGGATCACAAGGGATGTATGTAGTGATGATGTTTGGCCCCTGGAAGATGTGTGAGTCTTGGATTACATTAAAGACATGGTTCGGAAATTCTGTTAGCTATTGGATTTACATGTGCAGCACCTTAAAAGTGCAGCAGAGGCCCCCACCTCAGCTCTCCCCCATCTGAGAATCTATATTTTGGTCAAATCCCCTTGGCATTTGAAGAACATCAGGGAATTTGCCTGGGGTAGGGTAGCTGGTAGGAACAAGGACATTCTCAACAATGGGAATAGAATGATGTGTGGGGAAAACAGCATGGTGTCTAGAGAGAGCTGTAGAAATTTGGTTTTGTTGGGTAAAAGATTTCAAGACAAAGAGTGACAGAGAATAAGGTTGGAACATAACCTCTCAATAAATGATAGCTATTATCATCAAACAGGCAGATTTCAAACTGCAGAAAACTAGGCTGCGGAGCTCACACATTCTTAAGGAAGTTTTGGAGGTCATAAAGTGTTTTATTCAGGAGAGTGCTGTTGTTATATTTGTGATTCATTGAGATCACTTATCTGCTATGTGAAGGATAGATTTGAGGACAGGAGGAGCAACAGATAGGAGAATACTGTAGGAGTTTCCTCTGGACAAAATTCTTGTGATACAAAATAAAGGTCATGGTAGAAGAGATCATGGTAGAGGATGGCGAGGAAAGGACAACTATATAAAGTTGTCTATCTAAAGGACAACTATATAAAATCAGGAGGATGTGGTAGTTTTTTGCAGGTATATAATGAAGGAGAGGGTGAGCTTAAGGATACTTATAGCTTTTTAGCTTAGATAGTATATAACTATGACAGAAAAGGAGTAGAAAGTCTTGGTAAACTGTTTGGTTTTGGACTTGAAATTGTGAGTCAGTCATCCCATATCCCAACAGAGAACCTCAGTAGCCTGTAGGATAAAAGAATCGGAACCTTAAAAGCTAGAGAGATAAATTTGGGCAAGTCATCATGTAGGTGAGTAGATGAAAAGTGGTGGCAGTCCCTTGGGGAGTGAGAATAGGACCCTTGTGAACATTTAAGAGCATAGGCAGATGAAAGTTACAGAGTCCTCAGGGAGCTGAAGGGAATGGATCCCTAAACCGAGAGTGTAGAGATCACAATATTCATGAAACACCCAGTAAGCACACGGGCTTTGAAGATAAGAGATCTGGCTGGGCCAGAGTCCTGTCTTTGCCTAAATGACCATGGTCAAGTTACTTCCCCCTCTCCACTGTAGTTTATTTATTTGAAAAACGTGGATAATTACAGAGTCTACCCTCTAGGGGTGTGTTGAACTATATGTGTGAAGCTTTTAGGGTGGCATCTGGCACAGAGAAAGTGCTCAGTTTGTGTTGGTTGTGGTAGGAGTTGTGGCTTCCTAGCTAGGAAGGAGGGACACCAGCTGTCAGCAGTGATCAGGGAGGAGAGGAGAAGGTTACTGTTGAAGAGAATGGGGGAAGGGGGAAGAGGTTCTTTTTTTGGATTTTTTGGGGGGCGGAGGTGTACAAAACTTGAACATGTTTATAGCTAAGAAAGGAAGGGAGGAAGGAAGACTGATGGAACAAGATCTTGTATAAGGCCACATGGAAAGGACTTAGGACATTGTAGAGAGATTGGCTTCAAATTTCAAAAGGACATATTCACCCTAGAAGGGTAAGGATCATAATTATGGAAAATTCTGTGGGGGTATAGAAGGAGCTTATGTGTGATTGCTTCACTTTTCATAATGAAGTAGGAGGCAAAGTGATCTCTTGAGAGTTAGAACTGAAGGGCACCAAAATGCAGTGTTATAGGATTTTCTTCCATAATACTAACCATTTGGATAAACATTTGAGGAAGTTAGGTTTTAATGTTAATCCAAGACTGGAATATTAATAGCAAATGGAATAGTTCAAAGGAACTGAGAGCACTGAAGAGAGAGAACTAGGGCACCCTTCCCTGGGGTCCAGGCTGGGAAGGAAAGGAAATGATGTCAGGAGCAGCAAGTGAGCAGATATAGAGCTGGTGAGTGATAGCCATGTCTGTGAGTTGAGGAAGAGGTTTTGACAGAATATGGGCTCTCAAAATCAGGGCATCAGGACTGGAGTTGTAGCTCAGTGGTAGAGCACTTGCCTAGCATGGGTGAGGCACTAGATTCCATCCCCGGCACCACATAAAAATAAACAAATAAAATAAAGGTATTGTGTCCGTCTACAACTAAAAATATTTTTTAAAAAAATCAGGGCATGAAATTCCTGCTGCAGCATTGGCTGTTGGTATCTGACATTTCTTAGGTACAGTGATTGTTGGCATTCATCAGATTTAGCCTGAAAGAGAATGGGTAAAGCAGAAAACCATTTAGGAATTGTGGCACTAGATTTTCTTCTTGGTGGTTGTTGAAATCTAGAATAGGGCTGGATTCAGGTGGAAGAGAAAGCCTGTATGTCAGGTGCAAAGAGTTTTCAGTGACCAGAGATAGTAGAGGACAGCAGTGTGAAGGCCAGTCCACTACTGGAACCCAGGCCATGACCCCAAGGGAAGAGGACTGTGCTAGTCAGGGCTGTCCCAAGAGTCTGAACCAACAGACCCTGTGTATGTGTGTATTTGTGTGTGTGTGTGTATGTGTGTGTGTGTGTGTGTACACACACATACACACATATATATTCCTTAAAAGCAAATGTTTGTATGTATTGATTGATTGATATTAAGGAATTGGCTCATGAAACTGTAGAGGTACGCAAGTCTAAAATTTGATGGGATAGGTCAGCAGGTGGAGGCTCAGGAAGAGTTGCAGTTTAAGTCACGAGGCAGTTCACTGGCAGGATTCCCTCTGCTCTGAATGTCAGTTTTGTTCTATACAGGCCTTCAGCTGAAGCCCACCCACATTATAAAGGGTAACTGCTTTACTCAAACTCTACCATTTAAAGTGTTAGTCTCATCTAAAAAAACACCTTCACTATCCAGAATAGTGTTTGAACAAATATGAGGCCCAGGTGAGCTGATAAATAAAATTAATCACCACAATGATTCCCTGCAGGGGCAGTGATCACAGTAGCAGGGATTTAGAAGAAGATTCGCCTACACACACCCCAGCCCTGGGGATTGAGAAGACCAATTTTTTTTTTGTTTGTTGGTTTGTTTTTTAGTGTTTTTATAAAAATTATAAAATTTATAAGATTTTTATAAAAATTCATTGGGAAGTATTTTATATTCTAGAGTATAATATTAGTAATCCTATGTCCTTATTTTTTTATTTTACATTTTATAATGTCAAATATTTTTTGTACTGATTATCTCAGTTTATCATTCAAACCTTCAGTTTAACTCACTGTCCTCAATCCCCTTATCTCCAAGTGAGAGTGCTGGACAGGCATCCTTTGTTGCCATTTATCAGCTGTTGTCACACAGATACAGCAGGGCTCCAGGTTCCTGTGTTCTCACTCCCACAATAAGCATGGTGTCCCTGGAGAGTGACCACCTCACATTGTTCTAGGAAGTGAGAGCTCCTCCAGGAGTGTCAGATTTGGATCCCATGACAGCTGCTGGCCGTGACATTAGCACTTGCCCCTATGGAACAGTGGCACATCCCCATTGGTGTGTATTCTTTGTTTTCGGTGTGTATTCTTTGTTTTCGGTGTGTCCCAGAAGTGTAATAATGTGAACCAGCAGTAAAAAGAATATGTCTTTTCACTAGAGGATCTGGACATTTGGGGGATGGCATGGGACCTCTGTGATAGGATTTATTGTAAGTCTTTTGCTGACTCAGCACTGTTTTCTGAAGTCAGAGCCTAGAGGCTGGTGCCTCTTGATGTTCAGAGGCAAAGAGAAGCAAAAATATTTTCTTATCTCTGGCCAAAAATAGGTTGGCTTCTGTGTTTACTTGAGTATTACTCTGGACCACAGAATGAAGACTTAGCTGTAATAAACCTGCCTGGAGACACTTTCTGTGGGAAGCTGGGAAGAGAGACTCCAGTTCCTCGAGGCTCAGCAGTTCCACTTAATGTATCTACGAGGACAGTAGCCTCTCAGAAATAGCGCAGTGCCTGGCATATAATGACCCCCAGTAACCATTTGCTGAACAGATATATGAACTGAATATTTCCCTTTATCTGTTCCTATTATTTGATCCTGTGGAGTGTGAAGAATATTTTGGGCTGTATTTCAGGATGTATCTGTTCTTTGGGTAAATGTTAGATGAACTAAGGGTAGAAATGCCTTAAAGATAATGACAAAACACCAGCATTTAATTATCTTCAAAGAATAAAGAGATGGAACCTCTCCTTCCTTTTACAGTGCCCGTGTGAAAGCTGGACAGAGCGTTCTCGTTCATGGGGCTAGTGGAGGAGTAAGTATTTTTTTTTTTTTAAGTTTATGTTTTAAAGTGAGCTTGGGTATATGGGTTTCACAGAGTTCAAGTTGTTTTTTAAGAATCAAATTTATAAATACAGTCAGGGCCACTTTTGTTCCCATTATATGGTGAAACTTTTTAAAATCCAGCCTCCTGAAGGTGATTGTCATTACCTTATGAGCTTTTTTTAGCTAATAAATTCCACAGGGCACCTCATTATAATGTCTGTATTAAGATTTTTTTTTACCTATGTTGGGGGTGGGCCAAGATAAACTGGCTTTGTTTTTGCCTTCAAGTAGCATGTTACAAGAATATTTATTGAGAATTTCAGACAGTTCTAAAGGTTAATATTAATTCCGTATTCCCTTAGATAAGGAAATAAAACTCATTAGAGCTTCCTCTGTGTGGCCCCAGACTGCAGCGAGAAGCTACACTACTCAGTCCTTTTTGCCTCCCCTCCTTTCTTGCCTGCTGCGCTTTGATGACATTCATGGAGTGCACGGTATACAGCTGTGTCCTTAACACCATAACCCAGGGCTTAAGATGCTAATGTTGGGGAGGGGGGCCAGGGCTCAGAACTTGTGAAATAAGCCCTTCACAGAAATCACCCAGCACCAAGCTGTCAGAAACCTCTTCAAGAACCTGGCTGCCAATGGGCCTCTGAGGAGCTTAGAAGAAAAGTTAGAGCTCTGAGGTTGGAATTTAACAAGAAATCCACATGACCTCTATCCTGCACAGAAAGGCTTTGGCAATTTTGGAGACAAGATTTTGTATTTTCAAAATAAAAGGCCCAGGCTGAAGTGGCTCACCTTGAGGAAGCTGGTTAACCCTTTGTGAGCACTGTGTGTTCTGGAGAGTACACTGTAAAAAGTAATCTATTATGTGGTGTATTATGCCCTGAATAATGAGAATGGTATCCTGACCTCCAAAAACGGACATGTGATTCAGAGAAGGCAGTGCATTTTTGTCTATGTCTTCAGATGACTCTAGCTTCCTGTATACCTCGGATAGATCAATTCTGAAGGACTTCACTGCTTGGACTATTTACTAAAAACACCAAGATTGTTTTTATGGGGCTTAAGAAAATATGACAGATAAGCTCTGTCAAAAATGCCCATTGTTTAGCTCCAGAGAAGAGGCTATTTTTGGGTTAGGTTAAATTTAACCCTAAATAACTGGAGGTCTGTCAAACACATGCATTTATTTAAATTGCTCTGGCTTTCTGAGAGTGACCTTATGCTCTGTGTAGAAGAGAAAGATTTCAGTAGGAAGGAGAAGAGTTTAAAGAAAATCTCTCTTTATTCCCTTACTCTCTTGTAAAAAGCCCAGTTGCTTCACCATGTTTTTTTTTTTTTTTTCTTAAGGTAAAATCCACACTGTTTTTGGAGCTGGCTGTTTGTTAAATCCTTGCCTGGCAGGGATAGGCTGGCGACCTGGTGTGTGAAGCGCTTCTGATCCTCCCTGCCCTATCAGAGGGAAACAGAGTGCTGGGTTTTGCCTTGCTTCTGTTTGTACTTTCTGTCCTCATTTAATTCAAATTCCTTTGGGATTATGTTGTGTGTTTAAAATGGTGTAGGATTTATAAACACAGCTATTGTCCTGATATGTTGGTGGGGAGTGTTATTTTAGTGTTAGCAAAATAAGTACAAGAAAAATAGTTGCCACATAATGGTGCATAATCTTTTGAAAGAGTATTGCTGGTAAAATTGTTGATGAGAAGAGAATAAACAGTGTTTTTACAAAGCTATCAAGTACCCTTCAAAGCAGAGCACAAGGAAATATACTTACATTAAATCTTTATTTTTTTAAAATGTGGTTTTTATTTGAGGTCTGTGATTTTTAATTGAAAATCAAAGTAGCAAAAGTCCGTTTTGATGACCCAATAGCATACTGTGTTTGTGAGTTCTGTGCATTTGTTGGTGTGTTGGTTAGATCCCATAAGTGCCTGCCATAACCTGACTGAGTGAGATCATCATTCCCATGTGCTTTATAATCTTTAAGGTCTATTTCAGTCCTGGGAGTCTGTGATTGCTACAATTTTAATCAGTTTCCCTCTCATCATTGTTCATTTAAATTATTTTCTGTCTTGCCCAACCAAATCCTTCCTCTAGATCAGTAGTTATCATTGGCTTATGGGGGAGTGAGTCCACATCATCTGCTCTTCCTCTTCCTGTCAATGTCTAGAGACATTTTTGGTTGTTACACTGGGGAAGAGGATTCTGGCATCTAGTGGGCAGAAGCCAGGGATGCTGTCAAACATCCTTCAATGCTCAGAATAGTTCCCCACCACAAAAAAAAATGATATGGCCCAAATGTCATTAGCACTAAGTCAAGATTTCATAAAAGTTTGTGACGTTTATCTATACCATTGATTTGGTGTATAGTAAAAAATTTATTTCCTGGTATTGATATTTAAATAATTGCTCCTTTTTCTATAATCCTAAATTACTTTTCTCTTTTGTACTAAGCACCTTTATCTGGCATTCTAATGACTTCATCCACCTGTAAGATGATGATGTGCATTTGTTGGTGTGTTGGTTCAAGTCCATACCCACTCTGCCCTCCTCTGGGAGTGCTGTGCAGCTCCAGTGTGTTCCAAGTGGACTTTGCTTTCACAAACATGATGCTCTTGTTTAATAAAGCCAGTTGATCTGGCCAAAGACCCAAGAGACGTCCTTGACCTTCCTCCTTGCCTTCCACATTTGATCTGTGAGGAAGTCAAATCAGTTTGCCTCTAGCTATCTGAATTGTTTTTGTTCTTTTTCTTGCCACTACCTTAGTCCAAGCCAGCTTCGTCTCTTCTCTTAACACCAGCTATGAACTGATCTTTCTTCCCCTTTCCTCTCTTCTTTCTTTGTGCCCTGCATATAATTGGTGTGACCATTTTTAAAGTCTAAGTTGATCATATACTACTGCTAGACCCTCCAGTGATTCTGCATAGTTTTTAATAAAATCCAAAGCCTTTATCTTACCTCTAAGATCCTGTCACTTTGGCCTCTCTTTGTCTCTCTGGACTCATCTTCCACTCTCTCTCCCTTGCCTGAGTCACATTGACTCTCTTCCTGTTCTTTGAACACCTCAGGCACATTCCCACTCCACCCAGTTCACTACCTACCTCATCCCCCCCAGTGGCTGCCCAGATGTTCATGTGGCTTCTTGCTCACTTCCTTCGAGCCTCATTTCTCAAGAGTGGCCTTTCCTGATGACCTAAATTGCCCCTTTTCTTATTTCTTTCTAACCCAGTAGCCAGTTTTATTTTTTTCTTAGCATTTACCATTTTCTGAATTTATTTTATTTGTTTATTTATTGATGTGTTAATTATTTTCCCCTCTCCCTAGAATGTTAAGTTTCTTACATTAATCATCTTTAACATAAGAGTAAACACTCAATAATTGAGTAGCACAGTTAATTTGCCCATGTACCTGTCTCTTTTATTTAAATGGTATAGGCCTTATTTGTTATTTAGTATTTTTTTAACTAGTTGAAGTATAAAGTCAGTGAGCATTTTCAGATCATCTTTAAAGCCCATACCTTCTGCACAAAGCAGATGCTAAGCAAACATTTCAATTTTGATACAATGGTTAAAAATTCATGTTCTGTAGTCTGATATGATTTGGTCCAGCTCCTGTTCTCTTTCTGTATGTGACTTGGGCAAGTTACTTCTTCTTCTTTTTTTTTTTTTTGTACAAGAGATTGAACCCAGGGGTACTTTACAGAGCTACATTCCTAACCCTTTTTGTGTTTTTATTTTGTGACAGGGTCTTGCTAAGTTGCATAGGGCCTTGCTAAGTTGCTGAGGCTGGCCTTGAACTTTAGATCCTCCTGCCTCAGCCTCCTGAGTTGCTGAAATAACAGGTGTATGCCACAGTACCTGGCAAGAAACTTAAGCTTCCTTGTATGAGGAATACAGACAGATATAATATCTATTTTAGGATCATTGTGAGGATGGAATAAAGCAGTATATAGAAAGTATTTAACATGGTACCTAGAACATTATAAGCACTCAATACAAGTGAGCTATTTTTCTTATTTTTTTACATGCTAAGTTCCTTAAAGATAGGTTAAATCCCAGAAGGACCTGAAGCTCATTTGATGTTTATTGAGTGTTTTCAGGAATGCAGAAAATATATAACTATTGTGTTATATTTTGTTTTTCAGGTTGGATTAGCGACATGCCAAATTGCTAGAGCTTATGGCTTAAAGGTTTTGGGCACAGCTGGTACTGAGGAGGGACAAAAGATTGTTTTGCAAAATGGAGCCCATGAAGTATTTAATCACAGAGAAGTTAATTATATTGACAAAATTAAGGTAAAATTTTCTTCAGTATACAAAAGTCTAACATTGTTGATTGGAGACTTAAATTTTTTTAATTAATTCTTTTACCAACTACTCTCTTAAGGTTGTTTGCTTCCTTTTTTTTTTTTTTATTTTTTTTGTTTCAGCAATATCTCTTGAGTCTCTTCTCTGGAGAGATACAGACAAAGTGTTTGCTTCCTTTTTTTTTTTTTTTTTTTTACCTCTGAGTTTCATGCCCTCTTCAGCCCACTGTGCTGGTTCTCTCATTCCATGGATCTAACAC